CGAAATTGATTCATCAAACTGTCCAACATCACCACATAATTAAGTTTAATTGCAAGAGATTAATTTAACTCTTCGACCGGTCAACTAATGATTCTCCAAGACTCCAACCTTAGGGATTTCTAGATATATAAATATATAAGACAAATATGGGGTAGAAAATTTGAACCATGCGTGCCAGAGAATTAAACCTATTGAAAAATTAGAACTATTTTACAAGTACCAATTAAAGTTGCGTAATCTCCTAATTATATATCCCTTAAGTATGAAATAATACAAATATGACTGTTGCGTGAGGTCCAAACGTAAATTAATTAATACACTAAAAATGCCATAATTAATCATATTTGAGTATATACTATTTAGTAATTAATTAACAAGTCAAGTCCATGAAATTCATTAAACATTGTCCGCGCACGCTAGCTCGGTTACCAGCGGTTAGAATAGCTTGATTAATCTATATTTCTCATTACATCATTATGAAAAATGATTGGTAAACATTTGATTTAGAAAAATAATTTTGAAACAACTTTTTTATATCATTTTTTTCAATAACTTGATATATTATTTAAATGATTGATTCTTTTTATTCATGTGAGATTCATAATATTGAATACATTTCACTCATTTAATAACATGTGAAAATTATATCAAAAAATATTATAAAAAATTTATCCTCACACTACCTTTTGAGAGTGAACTCCATCACTACGTCTGATTTTCGCAACGTCGGTTAATTAAGAGTGTAGAAATTGATTAATCTAACTGTCCAACATTACCATAGCTATCAAAGTATCGGAAGTCTAACTCCATCAATCGTCTAATTTCGCGACTTTTACCATTTTTGGATCGCTAGGACTCATCGCAATCATCTTTCGAAAGTAATAAGTTCTCGATCGATCAATCCGTTACTTAATGAAGTCCCATTTCACATCGTGCAAAAAAACAGTATCTTATTACAATACTTCGTACGTAATCTATTTGTTTAATTAATCAAGCGAGATGGTTAATTGATACCTTTGGCTATAAATATAGGATCGATCCAAGAGCCAATATCATTCTAGTTAGTTCTCTACCTCTCTCATTCTCTTATATCATAGTGCACTCTATTCAATCCAACACAATGGCGACCATCTTTGAGGATAAGAGTATTGAGAGAAATGACACTAGAGGTACAATGAGGTTTCCTGGTCGTGCCAACTTAACAAATCTTCCATTTGATTGCAACAACCACGGCCAGTTCGGAAGCTTGTCAGTTACAGATGAGGGGGGTACTCAGTGGACGCTTACCATCAGAAATAGGAACGGACAGGTATATTTCACTGATGGTTGGGATGCATTCAGAGTGGGGAAAGGCATTACAGTTGGTCATACGATCTCCCTCTACAGAGATGATGAAGCTGATCTGTACAGAATTACAGTGGGGTGAAACTGAGAAAAGGGATCATTAATTAGTTGGATTTTATATATCCTTTAAGAGTATATTTGGTTTGAAAACAGTGAAGGGGATAAGAGAGAATGCTATTTCAGCTAAGCAAAATAAGTCATTATGCCAAGGACTTAATTTGACTAGATGAAATATTTTTTTCTCCCTTCTTCTTCACTTTTCTTAAACCAAACAAGTTCTATGTTGCTGTTGATTAAGCTCATAGTTTAATTTGTAATACTTTATTATCTTTTAGTTTGTGTTTTATTTTTATTTACTGTCTAGACTTTAAGATGATATTTATTATATAAATTAATACACTCTTTGTAAGGTTGTGCTATTGTATGTAAAATATTTTTACAATAAAATTGAAGTTTCACTTCCTTTATTATCTTTATGTTTGCCGCTTTTTTCTTTTTTCTTTTTTCTTTTTTCTTTTTTTTTTTTACATTTTTGCGCATGGTATACATTTCCTTAAACTCATGATGGAAACTATTTAAATAATTTACTAATAATTTTTTTAAATTCAAATAATGTTTACGATGCATGTCTTTTTATATAATTACATGAATATTTACTTTTTTAACTTAAACGAATCTTACAAGTATTTATAGATTATTTTATCCATAAGTATCTAATAGGTAATTAAGGTTTTGTCTACAAAAAGATATGCAACAAGCATGAAGCATTAAAGTTGTTCACTTAGATGATGTTAAAAGAATTCAAACTTATAATTTTAACATAATTTAAATGACTCTTAACCTTAATTATTGGAGTCAATTCTAATAAATCTTTTAAAAAAAATTTAATGATTACTTCTCATCAAATACGAACAAAAAAAAGTTGACGGTTTAAACAAAAACTTCTATCATATTTCGTTCAAAAAAATTTTGTTATAAGAGTTAATAGTACTTTCTAACACGCTAACTAAAAAAAAAAAAGAAAAAAACTCTGACAAAAATTTTCTAGGCAAAACTTGTTTGGAGAAAAACATCCTTTCAAAGTTCAAACCAATACAACAAGGGTTAGTTGGTCAAAGTTTGAAAAACGCGGCGTGCCAACTGCCTCGCCACTTCCAAATAGGTCCAACCTTCTTGGGCATATGAGATTAAGACCAGCCCAAAACAGTTTGAAAACGGGGCTCAAAATCAAATTTTGAATAGAGGAACCTAGGAATTTTGAACCTCTGACGGCCCAAGTTGTCCAGAAGGTGCAAGAAGATAGATGAAAGAAACATTTCTTAAATATGGAATCTCTGGGAACAGAATCCAGTGGAACTGTGGAAGAGCTAAATTGCTTACAGGATGAGGTGCAGGCATGCAGCTGAAGCAAGCGCTGGTGGACACATGGAAATGGAAGCATTCAAGTGAAGGTTCATATTCTGTCAAGTCAGGATATGCAATACTGACATGACTACATATAATTTTATGTACTGATATTTAAGAGTTTGAGTACCCCTTGTACTCACAATAAAATTCTTTTGCTTTTCAAAAAAATATATATATATATTCTGTCAAGTCAGGATATGCAATACTGACATTGAGCTATTCGAGTGGGGGAAGGAGCATCTTCAACCTAATCTGGAACCCATTGGTTGCATTCAATTGGCAGGCAATACACGATGGAGTTCCAACCATATCAAATCTGTTTAGGCGTGGAATTTTCGATGATTCAAGCTTGATTATGTGTGCATTCTATGGGAATGAAATAGAAGATTTGCATCACATTCACATGTTTCTGCAGTGTAA